CCACCCCATGCCCTCCCTGTGCCCACCCCGTGCCGGTGAGCAGTGTAATGGGCTCCATCTAACCAAATATCCTGAAGGATTGGTTGGGCTCGAAGCAATTTAAATAGAACTATACCTCAGCTGTTTCCCAAAAGTTAGCATGAGGCTTCCATGGAAATAGCCTGCGAGAGCCAGCCTTGACTGGAGCAGGCAGTGGGCACCTGGCTCACAGGGCACGCACCTGGAGGAACCCGGTTCTAAGTGTGTTGATGGCAAATGAGAAGAGGCGCTGCCATGTTGAGCCTCCCTGTGTTCTTTATTTTATTTTAAAAATGATTGTTTATTGATTTCAGAGAGAAAGAGAGAGGGAGAGAAAGAGAAACATCAGTGATGAGAGAGAATCATGGATCGGCTGCCTCCTGCACGACCCACACTGGGGATCGAGCCTACAACCCGGACCTGTGCCCTGACCAGGAATCCAACCTTGACCTCCTGGTTCATAAGTCGATGCTCAACCCTTGAGCCATGCCGGCCGGGCTGTGTTGTTCTTTTAAACCCTCACAACATCCTGCCGAGGGGAGAACAGGCGTGTCCGCTCCCGATGGCGAAGGGGCAGGGCCCACAGCGGGGCCGGGGCGCACAGCCCGCCCTGAGATGTCTTTGGAGGAAGTTGCACCCTCACCCGCAGTGTCGGAGCCCTGGACGTCCGCTCGGGGCTGGAAGGGCCGTGACTCCCCGCACCCCCCTCCCCTGCACCCACAGGAGCCCATTTCTGGATGAACGCGCACCCTCACTCTCACCCGCTGGCTCTGGCGTGGCTATTTATCTAGCGCTGGTCCGGAAATTATGCCTCTCTCCCCAGTTTCGTCTGGGCATGGGGTGCGAGGTTATTACCTTCAAAATGAAGAATGAAAACGTAAATCGGCAGCAACAAGAAGGACAGAGCCCGGCAGGCGGAGGCGCAGCTTTAATCACGGCCCTCCCGGAGGAGGCCAGCCAGGCAGCCATTACAGCCCGCAGCGGGGAGACTGAGCCGGGCCCCTGCGGAGCTCCCTGGGAGGCCCCTGGGAGGCGCCTGGGTGGAGGGCGTGTGGTGGAGGCTGTTGGCGAATTGCCGAGCCTGGGTTACTCTGGGAGCGGAGGCTGCGGCCTGGTGACGCCGGGGCTGCGCGGGGGGCAGTGGGAGGGATGGCCCGTGGGTGAGTCAGTGTCTGAGGGGATGACCGCTGCCCAGGCGGAGGACAGAAGGGTTCTGGCAGGTGCTGGGGAGGCTCTGTTCCCGGCCCACCCAAGGCGCCCTAGCAGACTGGGTCCAGGCCCGGACGCCAGCGGGAGGGCAGCCGAGGGCACACGGCGGCCACAGCAAGTGGACGCACCTGCGCTCAGCCCGTCCTGCCGCCAGGACACAGCCCCGGGCAGCGGAGCTCTGGGTCCGGGCCAGTGTGATGGAACTTCTGAGGCGAACCGGAAGTTTCCATCAGAGGCGGAATGACTTTTTTTAAGCATCCATTTGTCTTATTACAACAAAGGCTTTGGGCCTGAGCTCATGGCTAAGACACATGAAAGAAAAACGAGAATGCTGCAGGTCATGCTGCTTCTCACAAACCGAAGCGAGTAACACTGTGTTGAACAGGGGCTTTCTTTCCTCCGGATGCTGTGATATTGCTCATGCTTTCGGCAGTGTCTGGACCAAGAAGAGAGAATAAGGAAAGGTGGGGGGGGGGGGCGGTGAGGGGTCCTTACACAGACAAAGTGGGAGAGGAAAGCTCAAGACCACGATGGGTTTGCAGTGCTCTGGCGGGATAGTGCCTACGGACACTTCGATGCATCCTGTCCGTGAACTGCTCTCAACCTCCAACAGGAAAAACACCTTGAGAGAGAAGCGGATAGACCATTTGTGCAGTTCCATCCCAGGCTGTCCCTGGCTCGGTATGACAGGCACGTAAGCTTATGGACTGGGAGGGAGCGAGGCTAACTGCCGAGGCTCGGAGCGTCAGGCAGAGCTGGTCCATAAACCTCAGCAGTGGACTTACCTAGAGCAAGTCCACACGGCGGATTGAACCCTTTCCTTCATTTTGTGTTTTTAAGACCTGCACTTGCACAGAATGCTCCGTGAGGGCGGCTCAGGTCAGACAAGCGTGGGTGGGCTGTGCTCTGTGGCTCCTGTTCTGAGCCTGTAGAGTTTGCCTGGCCGACATGGCTCAGTGGTCGAATGCCGACCTGAGAACCAGGAGGTCATGGTTCAGTTCCAGTCAAGGGCACACACCTGGGTTGCAGGCTCCATCGCCAGTAGGGGATGTGCAGGAGGCAGCCGATCCATGTTTCTGTGTCTCCTCTCTCAGGAAAGCAGTAAAACTATATGTATAAAAAGAGAAAATCAATAAGGAAACTTTTTTTTTTTTTTAAGATGCTGTGGAGTCCTGCTTACCCTGGCGGAGCCACCCCTTCCCTGCCCGGGTTGGGCTCAGCCTTGCACGGCGGGCACCCACTGCCGTGCCCTCAGGGGCACCCAGGGGACTTGGCTAGTCCACCAGCGGGGCCACAGAAACCACAACCACTCGAAAAGCTCCGGGGCTGTTTGGGGGAAAGTCATTTCTAGGAAGTTGAAGGCCTTAGGGGTGAGCACCGGCTAGCTGCGCCTGAATTACAAATGGTTCAGCGGACAGACTGCCATGCCACACCCGGGTACGTGTGTGTGGGAGACGACCCCCCCCACACTCGGCCATGCAGAGTGTTCACAGGGGTAAATTGCAGGAAGCAGATAGTTTGGAAATGTGAAATATTTCTCTAGATTGAAAACTTATAACACAAAGAGGGGAATCTGCCAGCACAAGCTGCTCTGACTCTTGCACGGGAAGGGGCGGCCTCGGGAAGAGCTGGTCAGGAGGGAAAAGGGGTTTTCAGACCCAAACAAGTCAACGGGCGGGGTCCACGCTGGTGACGGGAGCCGGCGGACCCCCGGACCGGCTGTGGCGGACCCGCCCTGCTGCTCGGTGAGCGGCCTCTGGGAGTGTGTGCTCGGCCCTGCGGGCTGGTGGGCTGCCCGGAGATGCTCATCAGGTGTCTTCCGATTCCCGTTCTGTTCCGTCCTGTCCCGGGCACTCAGAGCTCAGCGTGACGCTGAGAAGCCCGCCATGCGCGTCCTGTAGCCACGCAGGCGGGAAAATGGTCTGAAAAGGCATCTCAGCATTCACCCACTCTGGCCACGCAGAGCCGGCAGCTCGGAATCCGCTGTAGCCCGAAGCTGGGCTGCCTGACCTCGGCCTGGCTGTTCCTCCCCAGCCCAGCCGCTCTGGAAAGCTGAGGGACGGTCTCGTGTCATGGCGTGGGCTGTGGCCCGGGCACCGGCTGCAGTGCTCTCTCTTCTCAAGGGCTCTGGCCCAGGCTGCAGCACGGAGGTGGGGGCTGGGTCTTCAGATCCCCGGGTGTCGTGGTGGAGACCACGTTGGGGACGCTCCGGCAGGAGGGAGCGAGCGAGCAGGCCCCAGTCCGGTCTCTTGGCTCCTCTGTGCAGCTCGCTGACTGTGCTCCCCGCAAGGCTGGGGTCTGGGCAGGCCTCTGGGAGCGTTCCTTTCCCATCCCTCTCCTGCCTTTTAAAATCGTCTAACCTTTACCCAGGTTATAAAACTCAAGGAACTGGATTTGTCCGTGTTGTTGGTAAAGGTTTTAACAGTAACGAACGGCTCTGCCACCTTCATAAGCTCACCTTACTCCACATTAAAATGTCACAGTTCCCTGATCTTCCCCTGTTCTGTCAGTTGTCATGGTGTTTCTATAGCTTTAACATGCTTCATCTGTCACATTTCTGATACATGACCTTGAGGATATGTTTTAAGTGGTTATTATAGTGCTAACAACACTGTGATATTCATCAACTTAAATACCACGCACATCGAGGCACTGAAGTTACGAAAAGGTGTCAGAAAAGGGTAGTTTTTCATCAGTGATTTCCAGAGTGGACAGGCAGATATCTGCTAGAAACCGGAAGCCAAATATTAATCTCTGAGACTGAGGATTATAAAATATATTGCCAATAACTGATTAAAATAGGAAACTTGAATCTTTATTGTGCTTTTCATTTTACAAGTATTGCCACCCATAATATTAGTGAAGATGGCTGAACAAATGACCATTCAATATGTCTTTTTTTGTAAATTAGTAAAACAAATGGAGCTTCATAAGACTTTAGGATCTTTTCTCATTTATATACTGTTTTAAATAAATCATATGCATTTGGGAGTCTAAATATTTTCACTCCTAATGATCAAAAATAACTTACCCAGCCAGCAGTAAGTTAAGGATTAGAGAAGTATTTAGTAACTTTAAAGACCTAGAGATATAGCACGGTTGTTCTTTCACTGGTAAGTGCTTTTGTGTCAAGTTAGCTCTTTGTAAACATGGACGTGTGAGGCCCGCCAGGAGGCTTCCTCCTTGCCAGAGGTGTGTGCTCACTGACTGACTGCCCAGCTCTGACTCCGATGGCGTGTTGCTAGGTGGCAGGTGTCCTGCTGGAGAGCCCAGTGAGAGGCACAGCCCGGTCCTGGCCTGGGTGCCGCCCGCCCTGCGGCTCTGTCTTCCCAGGTGTGACCCTGGGTTGAAACAGCTTCATCAAAAATCCAGCAACCCGGGGCGGCTCTCGCATCCTGAGAGATGGCTGGTCCATCCCTGTGGATGATAGGAAGAAGAAAAGTCTAGAGCCTTCAAACTGTGCTCAGAGGGTGAAGCTGGACTCAGGAGCATGGTCTCTGCGTCCCCACAGCTCCCAACTCCGTCCTTCACAGCCGCGGCAGCAGAGGGCACCCCATGTCCCCGAGCAGCAGGCCGCGCACTTGGCTCAGGGGGGCCGTGGCCAGCAGAAACGCCTCTCGCGGTTTTGAGCATAAAACTAGGTCTCCCAGATCGCCGTGCTGCAGCCTCGTTGGGACATTCATCCGTGAATGTGTCCAGGGCTCCCGGCAGCAGCCAACGCCTGCCCGTTTGGTCCTGGGTCGATCACTGACGCCACCTCTGCCTCTTCCCAGCAGGTCGCCCAGCTTACACCAGCTTCTACGTCTACTGCAAGGCCCCCTGCCAGCGGGTGCAGCCGGGTAAGCTCCGGGTGCGGTGCGGCACCTGCCAGCAGGCCACGCTCACCTTGGCCCAGGTAAGGCCCGAGCGCCGGCAAAGGGAATGTGGTGTGAAATTGTCGGGGAAGTTTCTAATCAGCCATCGCTGCATCCCTCCCCTCGGCCTCCCGTGTGGTTGTCCTGGGCAGTGGTGCCTGACAGCTCGGTTAAAGCTGCAGGACTCGGGAGGTCCGGGGAGCCCGCGCGGGGCCCGGGTCTTTGTGCAGGCCTGCTGGCAGGAAGGGAGACTTGGGGCGCCTTCTTCACCTTCCGAAGGTGCTGGGAAGGGTTCGGGGCCTGGGTCGGTGTGGGGTAACAGGCTTGTGTATACATGTCAACATTCAAGGGGCCCCCTACGCCCGTGCGCTGACGGGCGCTGAGTGTGAGGTGGGCGGGAAGGGAGCGGTGGCTGGGAGAACCCAGTGCCTTTGGAATGGGGCCGCAGCCCAGCGTCTGCTGTGGCCTCGCCGGCTTCTGTGCACCCAAGGCTGAGGATGTGACGTTTTTACGTGGTTGGGAAACAGCAGAAGGAGAACATCACGTGACCCGGGATCTTTAGGTGAAGCTGGCACTCAGCAGCCACAGTGAAATCCTGTTGGGCCATGGCCAATAGTTTGTCGGTGTTTCAGGCCAATACATGGCAGCCACACAGGCAGGCCAGGTGGGAAGACCAGCGTGTGAGTGATCCAGGTTCGTCCTTACCCCCCTCACACCCCGGAGGGGACCTTCCTCCGGCTGTCCCTGGAGAGGCTTCTGTCCTAAAGCCCCACAGCATTCTCCACCGATGCCCCCGCCTTCCCAGTGCAGCCAACAGCCCTGCACACGGGCTGTGACTGTTACCTCCTACTGTTCCCAGTACAAAGGCAATAACCAATCATTACTGAACTCCAAGCTTAATCCTTTCCATGGGTTATCTCCGTTAATTACGTGCGAACACTCTGAGGTCAGCACTGTTAGCAAATCCTGTTAGATTGGGGAGGAAAGGAGGCTTAAGGAGATCAGGCAAACAAGCCCGCTAAGCGGTGGCCTGGGATTTGAACTGGCTGTGTGACCTCGGCCTGGAGGTTCAAGCTCCTCTTCACCACACAGATGGAGCTGTTACACGAGGTCACCTGTCAGTGCCCCGCGACCACAGGTGAGCGAAGGGCTAAGTCAGGTGCGGGCAGTGGGCGGGAGGCCGGCCCACGGACAGGAGTCAGCCCCCAGGTGTCAGCAATTGGGGGTGGGGTCCTCAATGTGGCCAATCTTTAGTTAACAAGGAGGAACCATAAATATGCAATATTTCCTGGAAAAGTGTGCTCCTGGGGGAAATAAAGCAAAGCCAAGGAAAAGCCCCGCAGCATCTGCCTAAGTGCCCACACCTGAGTGCAGGGTCACGTGATTGTGGGTTCGGCCGCAGCAGCTCCCGGCGCGGTGAGTCTCCGCGGGGGCGGTGTGGGTGAGCTCTCCCAGGGGCTCTGGAGCGGAGCCTGGGCTCGAGGCCCCTTCATCACGCTTCCCCACCCCCATCAGCTGAGGAACTCGGGGGCGGGGCCTGGGGACGGAGGGCTTAGGGAGCGGTTGGGTTCTTCCTTGTGCTGATTAGTGGATACGTGAAGAGTTCTGAGAACGCCAGCTGGAACATGAATACTTACAAATGTAAACTGCTGTGTTGTTTTCACATATATTACTATAACACACACACACACACACACACACACACACATACCCATACACACATACACATCTACTTTTCATGGAAATCAATACAGGCTTAGCTAATTCCTTTTGGAGAAGCGAATGCACCCCACCCCAGCCATGTATTTTTCTCTAATTCTTATGACAGACCTGCACAGTAGCTCTTGTCATCCCGTGGTGTGAACAGAGGGTCAATGGCCACCCAAGTCAGGTGTGGGCACCAGGATGGAGCAGTCCTGTCGGTGTTTCCCGGGAGCCCGCCTTTCCTAGCAAAGACCTGGTCGCACAGATCTACTGGTCAGTGTCCGATGGTCCAGCTAAGAGATCCTTCAAAAGTTCTCCTGGAAAGATGTGCTGGAGGATTTTTAAAAATGGCTGTCATCAAACACTACTCCAGGATGGCCCAGCCCAGGTGTGCAGTACGTTGTCTGCGTGCAGCCCCCTGGCACTCAGCAAGGGCGCGGGCCAGGCGCCTCAGCCTCCGTCAGTGACAATGGGTACACTCCCCGGGGCCCTCGGATGCCGTCTCTGGGGTGTGGCCACCAGCCCACTGCTGTGGGCCCGCCCAGCGCCCATGTGCAGGGCTGAGCCTCCGGAGGAGGGGGCTCTCTGTGGACATGAGACAGTGCTCCGTCTCCTTTTCCAGAGATTTGCAAAGACCTGCAACCCACACGGTCTCCTCTGGCCAAGAAAAAGGAGAGAGAACTAGGACCGGGGGTGGTTGGCAAGTGTGATGGCAGAGGGGTTTATCTGAGCCTCTTTCCATTCGTTTATGTGATGCGACACATTATTGGTTTGCGAATATTGTACCAGCCTTGCATCTAAGGGATAAATCCCTCTTGGTCATGCTGTAGGATCTTTTTAACATATTGCTAGATGCGATTTGCTAATATATTGTTAAGGATTTTAGCATCTGTGTTCATCAGGGATATCGGCCTGTAATTCTCTTTTTTTGTGGTGTTTGTATCTGATTTTGGAATTGGGCTAATGCTGGCTTCATAGAAAAAGTTTGGAAGTGTTCCTTCCTCTTAGATTTTTCTGGAAGAGTTTGAGGAGTTGAGGTGTCAGTTCTTTGAATGTTTGGTAAAACTCCGCTGTGAAGCCGTCTGGAGCCGGGGTCCTGTTTGCTGGGGGTTTTCTGATCACAGCTTCTATTTCATCAGTTGTGCTGGCCTAGTCAGCTTTCCTGATTCCTCCGGGTTCATTTAGGAGACTGTATGTTTCTAGGCACCTGTCCATTTCACCCACATTGTCCAGCCTGTCGGCCTACAGTCATGCACATCTGGACTGCCATAGGGGCTTTTCCTACACAAGGAGACACACTTGAACCTACTCAGCCACCTGGGTTATTTTTAAAAAACAGAATCTTATGTTTTCTGCTGGAGAAGTAAGTCAGCAACGAGCCCCAGGCTCTCCTGAGTTGTAACAGTGGCCTCCTCATGCGGGGGGGGGGGGGGGGGGGGGGGGGGGGGGCTTTGAACTTACCCATAATTCCAGCGTCTTCTCCCCACTCCTCACTATTTGAGCTGCCTCTCACACGTGACGCGGGAGGTGGCCGTGTCCGCCTGCTCCCTCTGGAAAGCAGAGGAGAAGCCGCTCCTGCCGCGGTGCCAGGGGTGGCGCACCGGCCCTGGAGGACACCTTGGTCCGCTTGTTTTCTTCTTTGTCCAAATCAAATTATCTTTTTTATTTCATGCTCACCTTGACCAGGGTTTCCATTAATCAAAAGGGCCTTTAGAAAAATGAACACTCACTCGAAGATAGCAAGCAGCGGCTGATGGGAAAACCGTGGCCGGCATCCAATTCCCTCGCCCGGCCGAGGTTGCCCACCTCGGGTCCGCACAGAAACGACGCGGCCCGAACATGAGAGGGCGCATTGCCCGCGCACACGCGTGTCCAGTCGCGCCCGCGGCCGATAAGTGGAGGACGGAGAGCATCTGCCATGGCCGCCTTCCTTGCCAGAGTGGAAAAGCAAGCATCGCCTGGCCGGGTCCTCAGAGCCCTTTGACTTTTCATACCCCAGCTAAGTGGGCAGAAAAGGCAAGGCTTTCTAAGCTCTGGAGACCATGCACTGCTGTTAGGAAGGGTTAGAATTAAAGAGGAATGCCCACTGAAAACAGAAACAGCGCCCAGAGACTTACAGATGCTTGTCCTTTGCCCTTCCCCTGGGACCAGAGGGCAGTGGCTCCTCCTGCCCTCTGGCCTGGCCTGGGGAGGAGCGAGCCCTGGAGAGGAAGCAGGATGTCCAGATGGATGTGGCTCTCAGCTCCGCCCTCCGACGCCCGGGCACTGAGCTGTGCCACCAGGAGACACGGGGGATGTTAACGGTCTCCTGGCTGGTGCCGTTCCCAGAGAAGCTCAGCCGATGGAGGAGTCTGCCTGGGGACCGTCCGCCCGCTGAGGCTGCCTGTCCTCTCCGGGGTCTCAGGCCAGGAGCCCGAGGCGCTGCCCACGGCCTGGTGGCCGCGCCTCCTGTAGGAAATGAAGCTTCATAACAGGAAGAAGCGGCGGCTTTTCTAGCCGGACACAGGCTGGCAGTGCAGCGAGGGCTTTCATGGCCGAGCCCGGTGGATTGTGACAGTGATGGAGCCAGGCTGCACAGAAGTGAGTCGGGACACTAGCACACAGCGCTCTGTTGGGCTCCTGGGCTCCCGCCGCCTGGAGAGAGTGCCGCCATGGGCCTGGCCCTCTAGGTGCTTGAATTCTGGTTCTCAGACGTATTAGCTGGATGACTTTGTCTCAATGTATTTCTCTCGTTGGTGTTGTTAATATATAATTTTATTGATTTCAGAGAGGTGGGAAGAGAGAGAGAGAGAGAGAGTCACTGAGCGGCTGCCTCCCACACGCCCCGCACTGGGGATGGAGCCCACAACCTGGGCCTGTGCCCTGACTGGCAATCGAGCCGTGACCTCCTGGCTCCTAGGTTGACACTCAACCACTGAGCCACGCAGGCCAGGCAACTTGTCTAAATTTCCTCGTCTTAAGCCGGAAGTGAGATTCCATTGACGCTACAGCAGAGGCTCAAGGACTAACTCCTCAGAGCAGGCAGTGGGCCTGGCACAGGAGACGCGGTGGAAGCCAGTAGTCCCACTGCCATTCGCCCAGACGGAGAGTTTCCTGCGCTCAGGCAGCACCGGGCTGCTGACCCCTCACCTCCAGGGCTCTTCCCGGCTCAGCTACACACTGGTGGTCCCTCAGCACAAACACCAGGGACCTACCTATCACCATTAACATCTTTCTGTGTGCAGTCAGCCTACTAGTCTTTTTTTAAAAATTGAATTTATTGGGGTGACATTGGTTCACAGAATCATACAAGTTTCAAGAGTACAACTCAGTGAAACATCACCCGCACACCTATCGT